AACCCTGAGGGCTCCCATGAAATAAAAATCTTTCTTAGACATTTCAAAAGTTTTCACCTGCTGCCAGAACTCTACAACTAGAAATTTTGGGGGTGGCACTGGTAGAAGAGGGACAACTTGAGGGGGGATGACACAAGGTCCCATGTGGGAGAGTAATGCCAGGGCACTGGACCCAGGCATGGCTGCTACCAGAGGGCTGGAGCAGAGGTAAGTGAACCAGGAAGGAGTGGTATCTTGAGGAGTAAGCAGAGTGTCTAGTACAGGGGTGGGGAACCTGTGACCTTGAGGCCACATGTGGCCCTCTAGGTCCTCAAGTGCAGCCCTTTGACTAAATCCAAACTTCACAGAACAAATCCCCTTAATAAAAGACTCTGGTAGTTTCCTGTTTTTACTTGTGATTCTTGCCAACTTGGTGTTTAGCTCTGTTGTTTCTACCTATTGAAGGAGATCAGGTGCTCCAGCATCCTTTAAACTTCAGTAGCCTTTACCTTAGTTAGAGTTTCCTCATTTTACTTATACCTTTGTCTGATGGATGAATGAAAATTTTCCAAGTGTTCTCTTGTCATTGTGTCCCTTCATGGAAAACAAAATCACTTTGACACCTCAAGGAATAAAAAGCAGTTCTGTTGTTAGCCATAGAGCATCCTTCCAGGAAGCTGAGTTAGCATCATGGAATCAAAGAATCTCACGAGTAAGCAAGACTGTGGAAGATGCCTAGCCCACCTTTCCTCCCAAGATAGGTATCTTTTCTACAATGACCCTGATCAATGGTCATCCAGGCTTTGTGTTCCCTCTTAGGACTGCTTTATGGCCTCCTTGCTTGCTATGGCTATCTTATTCTTTTAGCTTTAGGCCAGGAAGTTTATTCAGAATATGAAATATTATAAGAGAAGAGCTTTCATCAGAAACTTGTTTCATCATGCAGGTACTTTATGGGGCTTTCAACTTCATTATAAAAATTATGGCGATATAATTTTTAATGTTTCTTGTGCCTGGAATTCTACTAAAAGTCAAATGTTTAGGAGAGCTTGGAGAACATGGCGGCCTTTGCAGATTTTTTTTTTGTCTTACTAGTGACAAAGAATGTGTAGGCTTTGAAGTTATTCCTCCCTCTAGTATTAAAGAATAAATTCTCAAAAATAGTGAATGATGCTCTTGTTTCTCTTGGCAATAATAAGCTGAGTGTCAGGAAGACTGAAGATACAAATAGATGCTTGAGGTCTATTGCATTAGCGTTAGATAATGCTCTCAACACTACTGCCAGCTTGGTGTTTTCTCAACACCACTGTCCAGTCAAAAAGTGCTGATGCTAACCTTGAAAAGGAAGGGTTTGGAAGGGAGAAAAACTCTTGGGAGGTTATTAGAAATGACTCATATAAGGAATTCAAAGAAACATTAGAAGAATAATATAAAGGGATGCAGAGTGAAGAAAGCAGATCCCAGAGAACAAAAGAAATACTGATTAAAGCTATGCAAATAATCACTATGGCGGATGGCAGCAAAGGGATTGGGGCAGGATCAATGACTTCACTGGTGTGCGAAACTCCCCCAAGAGAGAAATGTAAGGAAGGGCAGCACTTGCTAGACAATTTATATAGTCTAGAGCATTGGGACTTTCCTGGGGTCACGTAGCCTGTATATGTCAGAGGCACTTAAAACCAGGTCTCCATGACTCTGAGGCCAGCTTTTTAATCTGCTAAACTAAAGCCCATGGGCTGCAATACTCCCAAGAAGGACCTAAACCAGATTAAAATGTAATTGGGGAATTTTTAAACAAAATAAACATAAATACAATGCAACCTAGACAATGTTATTATGTGGTTTTCTAAGTCAAAGTGCACTGACAGAGATCTTTATGTATGGTTTAGGGGTCACCTTTCTATCTGAGTTTGATCCCACTGAGTTATTCTGCCTCTCTAAGGTAACAAAGCCCTGGTTAAATACAACAGATGTTATTGTTGCTGTACCTTGTTCAAGTTCTGGTACGTGGTATTTTTTTTACTTCAATATGCCAGTGGATATAGGACCTCACTATTGTTTATGGTTCTTCCAATGATGCAGCTTGCAGCTTATCCATGCCAGCTTATCCAGTGGGACTTTTACAACATCCCATAAGTTTACCACGAGGTGTCCTATGCAAGGTGATTGGGGCCTTCTTTGAGTTCTCCTGACTTCAGGATACCTGTGCTATATAATACAGAGATTGTCTAGCAGTTATCTCTCAGGTTGCAACATGCCCAAACTATCTTTTCCTTATCTCCTAAATGCCTCTGATGACTTCCTTTATAGCCCTTATTCATAATTCTGCTTTATTGATTAGGATGCAGTCATTTCCACTGGGTACTGCAATGTTGCCCTTTGGATAGCATCAACTTCAGTTCTTTGAAGACTTTTTCCCCCCAATAAATAATGCGCATAGCTATACAGACTGTCAGCCATAAACACTGTTTTGTGTTATTCTGCTGAATGCTTTTAAGGAAATACACTTTGTAGTTTATTTGAAGTTTTTGTGTTTGGCAGTTGTCCTGAAACAAAAGTCATCAATAAAGAAATTAAGCAAAGGAAGAAAGGAGGAAGAAAAAGCCCTGAGGAAGAAAAAAGAAAAGTTCTTATTAGACGAAGCCTTTGGGTTTTGACTCAATAGCTCACTTTGTAGAAACACAGCCCAGGAGATTGGGCATAGAGAGACAATTGACGGAAAATCAAGGTGAAATGGAAGAATTATCCCAAGGAAAGCAGATGCAGTTCTATTGGCAGGGTGAAATACAGTTTAGCCTCATGAATCTGTATGAAGAAGTACAACTACATAATGCACCACAGAGATGTGGGTCTGGGAGAATGCTCAGAGATCAACCCGCCAGTAGGTCAACAAGCATTTGTTAAATGCTTACTATGTACCTGATACTATGTTAAGTTCTGAGGATACACATACAAGGAAAAGAAAGACAGCCCTTGTCCTCAAGCAGTTTCCACTCTAATGAGGGAGGACAACGCATAAAAGGGAAGACCTCCACTGAGCAGGTGGGCAGGGCAGGTGTACTACCTCCCAGGGCAGCCAGCAGGAAGCTCCTCCTGTCGTGAAGCCTACATTTGTCCTTTTGTACCCTCCATCTATCATTTCTGGTTTTCTAGAGCCCAGCAGAACAAGGTCCATTCCTCTTCTATGTTATATAGCCATTGAAACACTTGAAGGCAATCACCATGTCTCCCCAGGTCTTATCTCCTTCAGGATAAGCATGATTTAGTTTGTTCTGGTGTGGGGGTCTTTAGCTTTGAAAAGTTTATATTCTAGCAGGAGAAGAGAAAAATAGGTGAAAAAACTCAAAACCAAAACCCTGCCCCATAATACAGCTTTCTATTTTCTATATATGATGTCAGTCAACCAATACGCATTTATTAAGGGCTCACTACATACTAGGCACCGTAGAGAGTCCTGGAGATACAAAACCAAAAATGAAACCATCTCTGCTCTCAAGAAGATGACTATTTAAGACTTCAAAGTCCTTAAATTTCCCCATGTGCAGACGATGACCTCCCCACAACCTGGGTGCCGGCCTTTTTGAGTGGCTGTGACTGAGCATCATCCATCGCCCCTGCAGACAACCTGGTACAGAGCCTGTTGCTGCTGATTTCCTCTCTGAAGGCTCTCTAGACCACTAGGACTGGTCAGGGGATGGGCCACGCTGACATCAGCTGGGATAACTCAGGGATGACTCCCTTCCCCCCACAGGCACTAGAGGACTTTATGCACAATATATTAATTTTAATTTTTTAACCTTTTAGTTTTGGATCAGACCTGTGATTTCATCAAACTCTCAGGAAGAGATCTGCTTCTATCAACACAGATCAGCTCCTGTTTTTCACCGAATGCAGGGATTCTTTATCAGGAGTCTGTGAACATTTTTTTCCCTCCAAATCCATTTTGATAACTATTTCAAAATAATTGGTTTTCTTTACAGTCCTTGGAATTTTATTTTACACATCTAAAAACATGATTTTGAGCAATGGGTTCACTGGCTTCCTTGAATGCCAAAGAGGCCCAGAACACATACCAAAAAGGGTTAAGAGCCCCCAGTTTAGAGCCTTAAAGGGTCCTCTGGAGCACTGAGAGGTTATGACTTGCCCAAGGTCACACAACCAGGATGTGTCGGAAGCAGGACTTTATCACAGGATCACAGGATCATTTGATATAGACCCAGATAAAATAACTTCTTCATTCATAAAATAAAAATAGACTTTAAATTAGAGGAAAAGGATAAAGAACAGAACAATGAGAATCAAAAAGAAATAGCACGTCCTCCTAAGTGCTGCTTTCTTCTGGCTAACCGTATCCTCCCATGCCATGCTTTTATGTGCCCTCCCCATTCTGTTCTTTCTCTCCTGGGCACACTCAAACTTGCCACCGTTGCTCCCAAAATGTGACCCTGAGACCAGAGGATATGTCTCTAGACCTGATATGAGCAGGACAGAGTTCAGCACGACCATCGGCTCCCTCCTGTTAGAGGCTGATGACGTCTCCACGTATGTGTAATGCCACAGTTGCTTGCTTGGTTTAGGTTATATTAGGTGAGACAATAGAAAGCTTCTGTCTTTCTCCATACATAACACAGAAGAGTTCTAGATGCCATCTAACTCAAGTAAGGGGTCTTGAGTTTCTAATTCTGTTTTTAGGACCAAAGGGATGGTTAGTAGTTCAGAGCCAGAAGCTCATTAAGGAAAGCCAGGCTCAAGTTCACAATGTCCACTCAAAACTCCCCATTGCCCGCAAGTGACCTCACAACTGGAAATCGTGGTCTCTGCTAATAGCTATGCATACGGAAACACTTTAATTAAAGAAATAGATAGTCCATGATTGTGGGCTTGACGTTTACAAGACAATCATTCTGGTAAAATCATATTCCATGAGAGGAATGGAAAGTTCTAATATGTTATTCCCAGAAGCCCAAGATTAAATTAATTTCATTTGGAATAAATCTCTGCAAAAGTTATATCAGACATACCGGGCTGCTTCCGAATATCTCCCCAGACATCTAAACACTGTTGCCTGACGAAGATGATTCCGGAAATAGGCTGGATTTAAAACAATGCTCCTTGAAGAGATAAGATAAATGTGCATGTTGTTAGGCTTTAAAAAGATAATTACCAAAAGGATTTGGGAATGGGCACATATACAGTCAATTTTATACAGTATACATTTTTTTAAAAAGATACTAATGAATGAGCCCTTATCCTCTTTCCCCTTGACAGCTCTGACAAATGAACAAGCATTATTGAAAAGTCAATTAAAATTGCATCATAAAAGCAATCTTATTTATAGCATTGAGTATTTTTACAGATAGAGCAATTACTGGTAAATCTTTGAGCTGAAGTTACATTCCACTTAGCTAGCATATAACATAAGCCCTAGTGCTAATTTATTCATTTATATTTTTGGATTTGGCAGCAACTTCATATTATTATTTATGGGACATCTACCTACAATCAATAAAGGAAAAGATGGCTGGCTGCAAAATTCTAGCAAAAAAGGAAGTAATTGCTATTTTGGTGAAAATGTTCATTTAAGAAACACCATCAAGGTTCATTTCTCTCTCTTTTCTCCTCCTCCAGCCCCCGCCCACTTGGATAGACAATAGAATGGAGAGGAGTGAGCCCTGGACTGAAGTGCGGGAGGTCTGGATTTTAGACTTGGCATTGTCACTGACTCAGTGTGAGACATTAGATAAATCTCTGGGTTTCTGTTTGTGCCTCTGGAAAAAGAGAGAGCTGGAGTAGGTGATTTCTAGAGCCCTTCTCACCATAATTTGATGACAAATTGGAAGTATTGGGACTCACTAGGTTCTTGAAATCCTTGTATCTGCAACTGGCAATGAAATCTTCGGCATTAGAATCCCTTGGCAAGAGCAGGGTCCCTCTCCATGTCTAGCTGCCTCCAGCCCCAGCAAAAGTGGGCAGAGGGAAACCTCCATTCCTCCAATGAGGACTAGTAGGGACTGCTTTTTGAAATCTCCACAAAAGCACTAGCTCCTTATGTACGGGGGCGGGGGAGAGTGACAAAGAAGGAGGTAATCTGTGCTTTAAAGGACCCCCAAAGTAATAGGATGACAGGACTCCAGAGGCCATTTATTCCAGAGCAGGACCCTCCCTCTATGACCTCTCTGACAAGTGTTCCTCCAGCTTCGTCTTGAAGACCTCTGGCAAATTTTGCCTCAATCTGTGACGGTTTCAGAGTCCTAATTATTGAGAGGCAGTGAGACCTAAGGAGAAAGAGCCAGCCTCAGAGTTGCAAAGTCATGGGTTCAAGTCTCACCTTTGCTATACTTTGGCTATGTGACCCTGGGCAGGGTACTGAGCTTCTCATTGCAGAATAAGTGCTAACGTGGATTGGAAGCAGGGGCTTCTTCATCTAGAAGCTCCTTACGTCAATGAAGCACTTGATCAGTTCCCTATACCCAAGACAACTAGGTGCTGCCTGAACGTAGCATTTCTTTCATTGAGCCCAAATTTGTCTTTCTGCAGATTCTATAAAGAACTCCTTATTAAGCCCTCTGGGCCCACACAGGGTTAAGCTGAACCTTTGCCCACACGACAGTCCCTTCTTTCCCCAACCAAACACACAAGGCAATAATCCTGTCCCTGTGAATATCCCTTTCTTTGGGCTTTGAGGTTAAGAAGCCTTGCTTTGTAGAATGAGAATGAATCACAGAGCCTCAAAGATGGAAGCGATGTCAGAAACCACCTCATTAAGCACATGAGAAAGGGAGAGTGAATTGCTTGTAATATGACATGTACATAGGACAGACACGTATAGAGAAATGAGTGAGATGTAAGAAGGGAAAAGTCACCTTTGACTTTGAGAGAGAAGGATTAGGGAAAGCTTTAAAGTAGCTCTGAGGGAGACCCTGACTTAAGTTTGGAAGGAAGAAGAGAATTCCGGCAATCAGTGATGGGGGGAGAGTATGTTTCAGACGTGGGCAATGGTCTGTGTGAATGAACAGAAGCAGGAGAATGCTGAAGGAAGACAGAAGAGGACAGAGAATAACCCTATTTGGAACCTGGAATGTGTGAAGGGAAATCATGAAGGATAATGATAGAAACATGATTTTAAGTCTGATTTGAGATGTCCTTTAATGAAGGCAGTGTACAATAGCAAAACGAATGTTGTACTATGGAGTCAAAGATTCTGGGTTCAAATCTCAGATCTGTTGCTCACCTTGGGCAAGTTGCTTATCATCTCAGGGCCTCAGTTTCCTCTTTTGCCAAATAATGGGGTTGGACCTGATGACCTCTAGGGTTCTTTCTTACTCTAAACCTGATCCTAGATCTCCAGGGCTCTCTCCAGGACTCTTGTCTTCTCCACCAAGGATGTGTTCTTCCTGACTCCAAATCCTGTGCCTTATCCATGAGGCTCCACTGCCTCCCCGAGATAAGAGGCATCCATATAAAAGCCACAGACGAACCTTAAAAATCATTGAGTTCATTCCCTTTGATTTAAAGATGAAGGAAACGGGCCTCGAGACGGAAAACCATGTGTCCAAGTTTACCCAGCTGGGAGGTGATGGAGTTAGGACTCCTGACACCAAGACTGGGCCTTCTCTGCTACACTCTGCTCTTCCTCCCTTATCATGAACCCTGAATTAATGGAATTTGAATTAATGAGATTTTGCTGCATCTGTGGGTGAAGAGTTATGCAGATACAGGAATTACTCACTTGAGGACATTAATCATTTTCCCTTCATTTTGAGTTGTGCTTCTTTTAAAATCTACCTTTCGCTGCTTCCCATTGGAAAACAAAGGAACGTAAGAAATGCACAGCATGGATTTATTTCATACCAAGATAAAATTAATAGAACCAGGTAGCACTTTTAATTTTAGGAGAGAAAAAAGAGTGAATTATTCTACATAGAAGCAACATATCATTAGAGTACTGGAAATCAAGGGGTTTTAAAAGACTATGCATATATTAACTATGACACAAAAACAGAATTAAATTGGATTATTCTGTCATTTTCATTGCCCATCCTAACCATCTAAAGTCTATTTCTCTTTATTACACACACACACACACACAGACAGACACACACAATCCTCTGATAGCTAGAAATTTTTAAAACATTTCACTATCTTTTGAGAAGGGATGATTAACATATCTGTTCCTAATGCTCTGGAAAATTCTAAGTAATACATTCTATTTTGCAATAGCATTTACTTACTTTTCTCCTTTATCCTAACTATCATTTATGGAGTACTTAGACAGTATATGTCACCATATTAAGTATTGTACATTGTGATAAAACTCAAATGTGATTTTTTTTCTTTTTGAATTTTTGTTAAAGTGAAAAACAGTGGTAAAGATAACAGAAATGAATAAGTGACTGTATGAAAAAACCCATCGTATTTATTAAGTACTTATATGTGCCAGGCTCTGTGCTAATTGCAGGGCTACAAATGAAAAGCAAAAGCAGTCTCTGCTCCCAAGAAGCTTATATTCTAGTAGGGAGTGACAATACATATGTAAGAATGGTGGCCAAGAAAGGGTGTTTTGGTTTGGAAAGTTACAGGGATGATGAGTTGAGTCATAGGGGTGTAGATGGGCACATCCTTTCCAGGACTAGCACTCGTACCAGTGAGCCTAGCTAGCTTTGTGATAGCATAAGGAATTCTGTCAGAAGAATGATGGCGTTTGGGTTAGAGAAAGCAAAGAATTAGCTCTTGATGATAAAGCTGAGATTAGGGAGAAGTTACAGCCTTAAAGTGCAAGGATACTTAAGTAACTGAATAGCTATTGAGTATTAGATAAATATTTTAATAGATAAAGGCATTTTGTTCAGTCAGCAGTCACCAGGTTGATTGAAGGATGGTACATTTATTTTTTTTTAGCCACAGTAAAGATGAAAAATTATGCGAGTAGAGGGGGGTTGATGTCTGCATCAGAGAAGCAGAGTGCCCATACTGATGAAATCTTAAATATCTGGGGTATCTCTGATTAGAGTCTGACTGAGGATATCTATGAGTGTCCCATTTACATATTCTTGGGGATTGGAGATTGTTTAGTCATCAATGACATCCTCCCTCAATTCAATCCAGCAAACAATGTCTGCCCAAATGAAGTGAATTGAATTTCCATATCTGAGGGTGAGTTAATTTTCTGAGACGGACCCTAGTAAAGAATTATTTCAAGTCATGCTACTTGAACTTTATTTACATTTGGTGAAACATTGGTGAGATCCACTAAATGAGTTTTGTATAATTTTGGGGGGGCAAAGACAGTGATAGTCTATAGAAGACAAGTCTCTTTTGGTTCTAGGATTCTATGATTTTTCAAATCATCCCTAAAAAGTGACCAGCTCCAGAAAGAATTACTCAAAGGTTTAATTTCTCTCCACTTTTGCTAGTTTCCTACATGGCAACTGAAATACATTAAAACTATTATTACATTATCTTATCACAGTGTTATGCAATGTGTTGTTGTTTGTCCTTTGTTTTTGAAGAGGACCAATGATGTCATGGGATGATGTCTTGACTCATTGATGAATTGGATTTGTGAGGCAGAGTTACATAAAGTCATCAGCCTCCCTCTCTCTTCCACTGTCATCAAAATCCAGTGGCAAGACACAAGTCTGGATGACTGGTGGTAGCCTGACAATGACCTTGGCAACTTTGATATCTGATCAAGTTCTAGGTGCTCCACAGTGCCTGTTTCAGTACCATCATGGCTGTTGGAAAAATTGTTCTCATCTGCCCATTCCTGTAGGAAAGTTTTCATGTGCTTGGGGTAGACATCCCATTAACTCACCAATGTGTTTGAGGCCTGACTGTTACCCTCAACCTGCTTTAGCCTATCTGCTGAGTTGGTTTACCCAGTTGTGGCTGCTGTACCTCTCTGTGCCTCAGTTTTCTCATCTGAAAAAATAAGTGGGGTTGGACCTCTATAATCCCTGATAGCTCTAAATCTATGATTCTATGAAGCACATGAATCACATTTATCAAGGATGATATTCAAGGCAGTTAATGAGCAACTTCCTTTCCGCCCACACTTTCACAAACCAGTTGGCAACCATTGGCACAAAGGGTTTTCCCATGAAGTTTGCTT